TTCTTCTTCTACGCAGCCAGACTGAGGAAGAGAAGTACTTGAAGAGTCTTGGCCTAAAGATCCGTCTCTAAACAATAATACAGCTGAGTAGCCCATTGATTCAGTTCACCTCCCGGAAGGCTTACTGACAGAACATGGTTAGCAGTATATTCAGGATGGACTTGTCCATTGCCATCACTTCTGGCCACTGAGATGAGTTAAACAAGTTAACCAGCACAGAAGGAATTTCAGTCTGTGTGTATGGACTGGCTGGCTACCAATTAATCTATGTGGGCTAAACTGAGGAAGTTATACTGTGATAGCTGCTACTTAAAACAGAAAATCTAAGCGTTATTAGGCCTTAGATGACCAATTTACAACCGCAATTCGCATGTACTTCAGTGCAGCAGAGGCCTACAAATGAAAACTATTTCAACTGTGAAATTACTGAAAACATGACTGCTTAAAATTGCAAAATAACATTCTTATAAGCAAAGTGCCTTTAGCCCAGAGAAGGTAACAAAGGTCTTCCCTGGCCCCCATGGTAACATACAGAGCAAGCAAAACCAGAAGGACATTCAAACACAGTATCTAGAAATTCAGATACACTATTCATTTCAATTACCGGACCTTACACACATGAAAAATGTAATTAGCTAAGAAAACATGGTAGAAGATAATCAATCAGAAGACATGAAGCAGTGTATATGCAACTGATAAATAAATTGGTATGTAAAGAAAGTTACAGTTTCGATACAAGATGCAGAAACTCTGGACCCAACGGCACGCCACCTGTACAGTAGTACATTGCCACATTTGTCACTTACAATACTGTCCCAAATAAGAAGGTTTTGTCTCATAAACTACGTCTCATACCACTCAAACTTTGTCTCATACCACTACGTGGTACGCTACAGCCAACTAAATTTGGTCCCCAAAAGAGACAAGATTACAATGACTCAGTTAATCATGATCAGTGGATGAGCAAGCACACCCTAAATTATCAGTAGAGAGGCAGGGCTGCTGGTGTGTCAATACTCCCTGATATGTTAATAGCATCCAGAAGGACTTAATTACAATATGAAGCAATACTTTATCTCATTCTATTACAAGCTGCCACTGAAAATGTCAGTCTCATTCCTTCTTTTCCTTCCCTTTCCTCACTGCTCATTCCTGATGTCTCTCTTGCATCAGATCAAGCCACTGTGCTGCCACATTAAGTCCTGACTTAGCTCACGAAGGCTGGGGAGGATAGACTAGAGTGGAAAAAGTACCTGCATCAGATCATCAAGCTTAGCCAAGATCACCCTGCAGCCACACAATCAGTGTATTTGAGGCATAGAAAAGGCAGGAACACATCAGCCAGGTTGAAGGATAACAGCAGAACTGCCTTTTCTGGCAGCAACCCACAGTTTGACATGAGATACATGTACCTCCCAAATCAGTCTCTGAGAAAAGCAGACAAAACTAGATTTACAGCTTTGTTGCCTTGGACTGAGGAACACCACACCTCAGATGAGCTAATATCATAAGCTTGCTCTAGGATTGATGATCTGCCTGCCATGCTAAAAGACTCCGGGAGAGAATTCCAGGGGTCAATTTAACTTCGAAGTAGTGGCTTTGGGCCTCTTGGACAATAACCTGCTCCTGTCAAGCAGAAAACCTCTCTATACGAACAGGCTCCCAACAGTCACTAGATATTTTCATAACTTTGAATTCTGCTTCCCTCATTTTTGGACCATTAGAGCAAAGCCCAGTGTTGTTCATTTTCTAGACAAACAAAAAAAACTTTTGAAGAAGTAGGGGAAACACAGATACAGAAAAAGAAGATCAGTAAATTCTTACTTTTAGAACTAAGCAACAAGGGCAAACGAGTAGTAATGTTTTCTCCCCAAATATGAGAAGACATCCACCTTTTCCTATGACTTATCAAAGTAAGATCATAGAATCATTTAGGTTGGAAAAGACCTTTAAGATCATCGAGTCCAAACAATAATTCTAATGACCATTGCATTAAAGTAAGAACTCTTACTGCAGCTCTCTTCCTCAGTTTCCTTTCCCTACATATGGAAAAGCGGGAAATAAATTTTTCTTTGGCCCAGCCACAGTCTTCATTTGACAGCTTAGGAAAATTACAGAACACATAACCCTGTGTGTCTGGGCCTATTTAATAAACGTTCTGACAAAATAAGAATCAATTCCCTCATCACTTCTAAATGAAAACATTTCTTTTTTTCTTGTGAAAAGTACAGTGAAACCACTCCTTGTTTCCATTTAAAAAAAAATAAAATTAAGGTCACCAACAGAATGCTGAAGTACTTTAAGGAGCCTCATACCAGTAACAGCGTCACAAGCTTTCCATCACACAGTAGTGTGGGTGATCAGTTCACTGTTCCACAAAGAGCAAGAGAATTCAAACAAGTCCAAAGCCTCTGCCTGAATCATCCAAAACTTGCAAGATGTATGAACAGCAAGTGAAAAATGAAAGATTTGTGTATAACAAAAAAAGCAAAGCAAACAGAACACCCCCTATCCTAAACCAGAATAAAAAAGTTCCATCTAGCCTGGTAGCCTGTCTGAATGTAAGCACGTCAACTAAACAGTGATAGTTGTCTGCTTCACCTTCCAAAAGATCTGAAGCACATGGATTTCCTGCTCCAGCCATTAAATATTTGCATTCAGCCACAGTCATTTTTCCCTTGTCTTATTCAATTGCCTTTTGAAAACAAACTCTTAGCATCTATAAGATCTTCTATAACTATACAGTGTACCTCATCATCATGTGCAGAGAAAAAAATTTTGGCTTTGGATCTACTAAGAAAAGCAATCTCTTATTTTGTAATAAACAGTAAGATGTAGCCATATCTTACTCCCTTTTTTTGTAAACTATGAGTAGCACAAAGCTTTCCACCATGCCTCTCCCTCCACGTACCTCTTCTCAACACAGAGTATCCTAATCTATTTAGTATCTCCTTCTACAGAAGTATTCTTTACTTCTGATCATCCTTGTCACCTTTCTCTAACTTCCACAATTCTGTTATGTCCTTGATACTATTGTAATTTTTGCCAACCACTTTACTTGTTCAATTATTTCTTAACTTGTAGCTGAAGTGCTCATGAACCTATATATAAAGACTTTGCCTCCCCCACCAAGCCAAACGTATCTCTTCACATTTACTTATGCTTATTTTCTCAGTCAGACACTCAGTACCACAAAGCCTTTCAAGTCTTTCCCTGTTTTTACTGCTAGGAATATAACCCCTCTCCATTAGTATTCTACCCTCTTTCCCAAAGAGGACAGCATAGACCCACGTAGTATTCCGAAAATGCCCATTTAATCACACCCTCTTTTTTTTATATTTAATGCAACTACCCATCTACAATAGAATCCCTCATTTACTCCACTACAGGTGTGTTTCTTGAAGAACCTCCAGTGTGGAAGTCTGTTCATAAACCTTTCAGTATGAAGCACATCCAGACCAACTTTACACCAAGCAGCACTATTTGTGTGCCCAACAACTCCTTTATAGAGCTCTACTAACCATACACTGCATGACTTGCCTTTGCAAATTACCTTATTTTTGCCTTACTCTCATTACATGTATCTATGTATTTATTGATTATTCTACTACTTAGAAAAGAATTTATGCTATTTAATCATATCAACTTCAACCGCAAGCAGCAGTAGAAGTGTTAGTTTGTCTGATCATAGGTATGCATTTGCTCTGAGACTCAGGTCTTCCCCTCAAATCTCTAATATCTCTACTACATCAATGTCCTAAAATAAATAAGAGAAACCAGATTGCCTGACTTACTAAATATAAATACACACACCTTTTTTTTTTTTTTAATAAAAATTTCTAGCATTTTCTATCAATGCACACACAAGTTTCCTCCTTATTTTTCTAAATCCCGCTTTAAACAGGACTTTTTTTTTTTTTTTAATTCTGGACTAGCTTGCACCATTTCTTATTAGAGCTACTGACCCTTGGATAATATACAACTGTAAGGACACCAGTTTTAAAGGTTGCAGAAACTCTAGCAATCTCCCGTTGTTTTTGGCTTTTCCCCAGTCATCAGTTCAACATTAGAGCAGCCCTGATGCAAGCCACCTTTTCCAAAGGTGTTCCCTCTAGTCTGGACATCACCCCCACTTCCAAATAAATCTAATTCCATTTTCCATTACATCTTATTTTCTAAGCCTAAACGTTGTTTTTCCTCCTCCTCCTCCCCTCTCTACCCCCAGGTATGGTGCAAGGAACATTTCAGGGCACATTAACAAAACGTGAAAAGCTAGCAAGTGGTGGGTCATCTCACAGTGCTTGCTGTTAAATGAATACCTTATGTTCCAGCCCACTACTGAAGACAATGGACTCAAAGGAACTAAAGATTATTTGACACCTACAACAAAACATTTTTTTCAGAGAAGCTGTTTCTTAAGTAGAACTAACAAAGCCTGCTTCCTACAGGCTTGCATCTTCCTCTACATTACTGCTGTTATAAGCCCATTAGGACTCTTCCATACAACCCTCGTTTTGGTTCCATCTCACATTCCTTAATTGACATCCCTTCCTCTTCTCATGCCTTGAGTAATGCCAATTACTTCTCATGCTCTCTAATTACGGAGTGGGAACAAGACAATTCTATGCCTGTTTCCAAACCATGCATGTCCTAAGTGGCCTGCTGTCAGACTGTGAGGTAGAAGGGGTAGGGGGAAGAAGCTGCACACAGTTTTGCCTTGTACAAAACAGTAATTTTGAAGAAACTTACAGAATCTCCATATTTCAAAATACACATTTGCTTCTGTTGATTATCACTCCACAGAGGAATGGACAAACAGATAGTCAGAAGAAGTGCATAAGCTTGTTTCCTGAGGAACCAAGGCACAGATATGCTCCCTGGCATCAGCAAAGATCTTGTCTCTTAACTCTTTTATTCTGGCTTTTAGTCTTAATTCACAGTTCAATTTTAATGATGTTATACATTTTTTGGGAAAAAAAAAAAGCCCCCAAAAAACTCACCGTTTTATTTCGAAGTCTAATTATGTCCGAAACAGAGCCAGCTCCACAATATTCCATAACAATCCATAGATCTGTGTTCTTAAAATAGCTGCCATAGTACTTGACAACATAGGGACTAGATGAGGAAAAACAGTAAGATAAATAGGTGAATTCTTAGTAAGAAAAAAAAAATCATCACAAGTGTTAAAAATTACAGTTTTACACACACTAACATAGCTAAAGAGCAAGTGTAATAAAATACATTTTTAAATTGTAATTATCTTAACCAATGCCTTGTTAGAATAAAGTCTGACTGCTTAATAAAATCATAAAGGCACTACTATACATATATGTATGTATCACAAGCGTTCAGTGATCTTCAAATACAGACATATTTGACTAGACCAAACACTAGTCATCTGATATAAAGCTTTGTTTTTCCCTCCTCTAAGACCTCTCTTAATTTTTAATTCTTCTCACAAAGTTATTGCATGTTTCCCTTCTTAAAAAGATTACCTTCTTGTCTTCTCTCCAGAGCAAAAAAAAAGTGGAAACTCACCCATATTTTCCTGGCTTTGCAAGCATGCACTTATTTCAAGTACAGATCTAGGCTTCCATATTAAACAGAATCTAGCACTGGTTTGAATAAGACTTCTAGATTTGCACACACATTTTCATATTGAAGTGTCTCATGTGAAGAGATACTACTGTCATAAATGAAACACAGTGTTTTGTTACTAATCAGTTCATCACTTGACATAACGCTTCCTCAGAGTCACTTGCAAAACAAAGGCAGAAACAGATGTGGTAAACATAACAAGTATCATCCTTCAGAAAAGTCATTAGATGGTGTATTTATGGAAAAAAAAGCTTGGAGGGGTTTTTTTGCGGGAACTTAAGCAAAGGAGGTTACAGTTAGATTGCCATCCATCTACCACAAAGTCAGGAAGTAAGATACTGAGCTCTGACCAGAAGCCACTGTCCGAGAACACCTGCATTATGGGGTGGAATCAAACACTATTTTGTTTTGGCGCAAGGAACTGTGTTTTTCAGCAGCAACATTTTTTTTTTTTTTTAGAAAACTGATGTAAGAAAAAGACAGGACCTATGGTTGCCTCCTGCAACATGGTGCTAATCTTTATAGAAGATAGATCAAAACTATTGGCAAACTACTTAATTAAAGACCAACTGTTAGTACTATAGGGACTTGCCTTTACAGAAGGCAAGGTGGGTCAATTCCCTCCTAACAAGTCAAAATGTCTACTGTATACAAGTATGACATACTGACCTTGCCTCTTATGAATTCCTGAAGAGAGGAAGGTTACTATTACTTCTGAAAAAAACCCACCGATTTCCATGTCCATCTCTTGCCAGATTTACACTATGCTAGTATTCCAAGCAAAACTTGTTTATTATTACAAATCAGGACAAGATGATCTTTTCAAAACATCAAGCACTGTGCAATCTCCAAACACTGTTCCCATTTGCTTAAAGCCTTGTCCCAGTTAGCTACATAAGCCAGCCTTTTCTTTATCAACTGCTTGTCTTAGAATCTACATTTTTTCCCATTAGAAGAGCTTCAGCATATACAGTGGAGCTAGTTCTAGAAACAGGCATGAAAAAGAAAGAGTAAAGTGTTAAGATTTAATCATCTTTTATTTGAGATACTGCAATAGCTCAGAGCGTTTCTGTAATATCTGTGGAATCATCACATGTGAAAATAAAGTGCTAAAAAGTGCATCATCCCTCCCATCAGTACTGCACAAGACTGTATTTGCACGAAGGCATGACACATATACAAGCACATGGTGCAGAGCTGCAGCCCAACCCTTCTCTTCAACCAGAGAATGGCTGTATCTTGTCCAGTGAAGAAAGACTTTGTGTTTTAAAATTCTGAACTCTTACTCTTAAAAAAAAAAGTTATACAATAGTACATGTCCTGTAGATACTAAATGCAACGTGTTGTTAAGAAAAGCAGGAAACAAAGAACAAGGACAGAGAAAAGGGAGCAGGGCAGGGGACACAGGAATAAGATGGTAAGTAGGACAAGAATGAAAATGTCACAAAAAGCATAATACAGAAAGAAAGGTGAAAAATTGAGAAGATTCTCATGTATCACCACCTCTTTTCTCTGTCAGTATATTTTACAGACATTCGTTTCAAATATCTATTTCAGTCCTGTCCTAGTACTAACAGACATACACACACTACAACCTACATCACTGCTTCTAGTCAGCTCACATGGCTCAAGCCCGTGCAGTGACTATGGGCTACTTCCTATCATTGACCCCACAGAAGAACTCTGAGAATTCATAAGGTACTATTTTCCAATGTATTCAATGTCTTCCTTTACATAAGGGGAAAGAAATGAAGCAGGGGAGATAAAAAGAATTAAGAGCACAGCAACGAGAAGAATCAAAGTGAACATATTTTAACTCCTCTTCCAGTGCACAGGAAGAGCTGAGGACCTACTCTGGGGATCAAATCTAGTTCCACAATTAAGGCGGCAAACAAGATTGCTGCTTCCTTTTTAACAGGTACCTGTTACAAAACTCCAATTGCCCAGACAGGCAAAAATAATCCTTTTCATCCCTGTGAGACTAAGAGGAGACCCAAAAAAACCTCAAGGGTCCCAAATTCTTTTAGTACCATCTGAAATAACCTTATCACACATCTGTGGGGAATGTGGGAAAACACGTAAATCCTTCCTTTCTCTTGCATTCCCTGCCTACATATTTAATAAGCTTCTAGCATTCAGGGCAGTCAATGCCAGAAGGGAATGGATTACAAGGTCCAGTGTGTTCATAGGTCACAAATACTCAGATCAGGGCTTGCAGGTTCTAAATTCTAAAGAATTTTGAAGAACTGTTGCATTCTCATGTGCTAGATACAATGTAACTTTGAGGTGTCTATACCTATATTTAAGGATAAGTATTTGAACCTTCCTCCACCTTCACAACCCCATAGACAAGATGCTGCGGAGCAGTACAATCAAGCTCCATGTAACACCTGAGCAAAACATTCAGCAACAAATCTCAATTAATTTAGACTGCATTAAAAGGATTATCTTTAAATCTGGAATGAGTACTGCTAATTGCCAAACAAGAGCAAGTTTTTCATTTAAAGACAGAACTTCAGCACTGACCCACCACAGAAGCACAAACACAATTGAGAAATAACAGACCACTTGCTACAATACAATTCATCAAGTTAATGACTAAAGCAATCAGTATTTTAAAAAAAGTTTTGTCTAACTAGAGTGCAAAGCTTTCCTCTTTGCACTTTGAGTCACAAACAATGGACTCTTGTACAACTGATCAGACATGAAAAGACACACCCTAGCAAATCTGACTTTGAAGTTATAGCGAAAACCTTAAAAGATCATCCCCAAAAAAATATACAAATAAAAAATTTATAACTCCATAGAAAAGAGGAAATGCTAAGTAATTTCTGCATCCTTGCAGACACTTGATGTTAAGGCTTCCTTCCACTCCCGATTGCTACATTACTAGCAATCACAAGATACATCGTTCATGAACAAGTGTAAGGTTAACAGTCCTTCTTCAGGACTATTAGAAGATTGTTCACTTTTTAAAAGGTATGTTCCTGCACAAAAAAGGCAACCGATAGAATACTGTTTTGGAAGTTAACTACTAGCCATTCATCTTGTGCTGGAAACATCTTTATCGATCACCTGAAACAGGTAACTCTGAATTCACAAAGCCTAAGACATTTTTACAGGAAATATTAACCTTCGGGCTTGCCAGTGCAAGTAAAGTGAAGCAAGCATACAGAATTCTAAGCAGGGGCAAAGTACTTACTCTGCCAACAGTTTCTGTTATGTCCACTATTTGTACTTCCTTCAATCCAAGCTAAGGATAGGAGGAGGTCTGCAAAGTGATTCCTTTAAGTAAATTGTCCAACACAGATTGATTTAATTTTCCATGTAAAAAAAAAAGTTGCAGCTGCATGTATTTCAGCTATATCCACAAGTACAAACACATTTTCACATAGACTTTTAGAAAGGGAGCAGAACTGTCATACCTACCTGTCACATTGTTGCATTATAGAGATTTCTTTAATTATTTCTTGAAGATCTGACTCCACGGGGACCTGTTTAATTGCTACAACTTGTCCAGACTCTTTGTGTATTGCTTTAAACACACTACCATAAGACCTAAAAATACAAGAAAGGGATTTTTTTTTTTTTAAACAAGATAAAAGTTTCTGCATAAGAGAAATGAGGAGCAGTTTAAAAGTCACAGAAGCCATATGTTCATGTAGAAGTTTGAGGGGTTTTTCAGGCTGCAAAAAATTTAGTTCTGTCCAGACTTCAGGAAAGACACGCCTCTGAAGAATCAATCTTTGTCAAGTTAGATACTGGAGTATCTAACTCCAGTACAGGCCCAAGCACATTTGCTGCCTTAATAAACAAGGGACATCAAAAAAGCATAAATATATTTGAGGAAGCATGGAAGTCTACTAATGTGTGCATTTGCTTTATTATTAAAACTTGTCTAGAGAAGCATTCCTTAGGACATTTACAGTCACTCTCTCTGTAACTTAATATTCCAAACACATGCTTTATGTACTGTCTCCCTCTGATCCCATCCCCTCATAAATTGCTGCACTTACCCTTCACCAAGTTTCTCCAGAACATCAAAGACTTCTTCAGGCTGCTTAGTTAAACTATCTTCACTTAGCTTTTTCAGTTTGCTGAAAGAAAGACAAAAGTTGTTTGTTTGTTGCGGGGGGCGGGGGGGGGGGAAGAAACAGAACTCAAGCAAATTTTCATACAAGTGGACAGAAAAACAAAGATCATAAAGAAAAACATATTCCAATGAAAAGGGACTGTCTAATAAAAGTACAGTGATAAAATATTACTCAACCATCATAATATGGAGAAAGTTATGACAATTTTTGTCATTATCACCTTCCCGCTAATGTTTGCTCAATCCAAAGCAGCATGGGAGCAATTCACTGTGCAAACTGCTTTACAGAAACAGCCAAAGAATACAGTAGAGCTCACCTTTTGTCAAAAAACAGCCAGCATGCAAACACATGCTCATTACTGCGTAGAATATACCACGTTGTTACCTAAGAAAGTATAAACCAATCTTTCACCCACATGAAGTATCCACTTTCTAAACTACGTCACTCAGAAGCCAGTGAATTACATCCAAAAAAAAAAGCAGAACCCAGAGTCAAGATGACTCTGGGAGCCTATGGTAGCACTTCACCTTCACAGGAGCTAGCAGAACACTGACCTCCTCAGAGTTGTTGGGAAAGTCCTTCTTGCATCTTTGTGAATGTACATAGGGACAGGTGCAACAAAATCTCTAATTACACAGCACCACCATATTTCGTCCTCTGGTTCTCTCTCACACAGTCTCAAATCACTCACTATCACCCTACAATTTCTCCCAGCACCTTCAACCCACTCTTACAACTATCCTTTGTCCTTTACCAGCAGTTCTAGCCTTTCCCCAGACTCCAGCATTCCCATTTATCTAGCCCCCCAGACTCCCAGCAGATCTCAGAACACAACTTGGCTGCAAGCTTGCAATGGAGCTGACAGTGAACATAGCACAGGAAAATATCACCACACACACATTGTACTGAGGTCAGGCAGCTGCAACATGTAAATCCTTCACCCTAGAAGTTATAGGGAATTTTGCTGCAAGATTGAAATAACAAGTTAACTCCACATGATAGCCAAGGGTACTATTAAAGTAGAAGATGAGCTGAACAATAGCTGGTGCTGTAGTGTTAGATAGACAATGTATTCCATATGCAGGA